AAAAAAAAGTGCCTCCCCCTAAAAAAAAAAAAAAAAAAAAAAGACAGAAAAGGGAAAGGCATTTATTAGTCAGAACCATTTGTGTACTTCCCAGGTCAGCCATTCAAATAAAGGCTTCTACTTTAGATATAGCTACGACTCTCTCCTAGTTCTGCTAGGGACCTTGGGAGTATCCATCTCTGCCTTCACCCTGCAGGGCCTAGCAGCTAATGGGGTACTTTTTATCTCTTTTAGGATTCAGCTCAATCCTATTTGCAACTTTGTAAATCTCTCCAGGAAACTCCAAGGGGTTTGAGAGGAAGCAGTAACTAGGATATTTTCAGGCTTCATGTTAATTATCCTGTTTGAAAGTTCTACACATACACATCATTTTCTGGACCCTAGGTGGCACCCAAAGCATGAAATACGCCTTTGTAAAATATTTAATATTTACTGCTTGGGTACATGATTAAGTGTACATCTATGTAGCTGCCTTACACTGGGAGTGAAATAGTTTTTGAGTGATCAAAAACCATTTATTCATGGAGAGAAGGCAATGCATAAACAACAGAAAATTTGAAACAAAGAATAAAAAGAACTAAACTATCTAGATCCAATCATGGGTTAATTTTAGACCCCGAATTCAGTTTACAATACTAAGTTTAGCTACCGTATATTGAGTATGTACTATTGAGCTTGACATGGTGGTCTTTACTTTCACATAATTCATCTTTACTCCAAGTGATAACCTTGTAAGGCATACTTATGCTCACTTTAGAGTTGAGAAGAATGAGACAGATAAGTGCAATAACTCACACCCACGTATCACGCAGTTGTGACCCAGCCAGGAGTCTAGAACAGGTGTACTCAGCTACATGGCCCCCACTCTGTTACTCTACCAGATCCCCTCATCCAGAGGGACTCTGGGTACTAACCCACTTCCACATGCCTTGGAGGAGTTTAAGAAGCCTGGAGCCTTAAAGCAAGCCTATCTAATTTCACTTAATATAATCTTCTGAACAGATGTCCTTGCAGAATCATTCTCATAAAAAACTCATTAACGTCCTGTGTCCACAAATCACAGTCTGGAAAATACAGCATTTCACATCTGTGCCTCCAATTCCTGACTTTTGTCTCTTGGAGCCAAGTCTGATGCCCGTCATTCCTCCTGGGGTCTGACTACATATCAGGAAGGCTGCCCTAAAACAGCAGGTGCACCGGGGAGTTTCAGTCACTATGGTGTTTTCAAAAGGAAGTACCATACTTGCGAGATTTACAAAGCATGTCATCATTTCAGGATGATAAGGAAAAGGAAAAAGGAATCTTCGTAACAGGAAGTTTTCTTTAGCGCCTAATGATTTGGCCAGTGACTAGGTTAGGGGTCATGTGACAAAATGATTTGCTAAGGAAAATGTTGATGTGCGTAATTTTAATAAGTGG